AAATTCATTGAAGAACGTGAGTCAGCAGAGGAGGGGTGACACTTGGAAAGAGCAATAAATGGCTACGGCTTGAGCTAGCGCGGCTACTCCGCCCTTAATCGAATGGAAACAGACGGCACCCAATAGCCGGAGCCACTGGAAACAATTGAAGAAGGTGCTTTCTATTTGGCATGGAGCTTGTCTACTTCAGTACGTCATATAATGTGACACACAGATAAGCAGAACTTCATAAAAGTCGCAAAAATCAGTCGAAAAATGAAATTCTTAATTCCTGTTGGCCATGAGAGCCCCAAATGCTAATTATAAACACGATTTAAGTCACTTCTGGTTGATTCTGAACGCAGACAAAAGTCATATCGAGAAAAAGCACTGCGGCATTATAGTGAGTAAAGGTAAAACACACACAACTCGCAGGTTATACCACCTATTCCGAAATAATACTTCTGAACTTTGTATCCGCTCACCAGGCTCTAGTTCCTCTTCGGTGAGTGGGGCACGATTAAAGGGATTCGTTTGACTGCTGAGCAGATGCCGCATGATATGCTTTCGATCCATGATATGACCAGATGGTAATCGGACTGGATCTTCCATCAACGTATCCATTACAGGATCTGGAATGATAGGTACAAATAGTACACTGACTCATATTGGCATAACGGGAAACATTATTAGTCCTCTTTTGAACAAGTTTGACAGACATGTGAAAGCAGGTGATATTGGTGTTTGTTCAGAACGCGACGAATACTCGAGCTATAGAGGCTAAAAATCACACACAATATTCTTTAGATTGAGACATAAGGAAAGAAGAATTATTTCAATAGCAGCGAGATAAGTCATCTCAATGAAACCCGCAGTTCAAGTGAAGATAGGAAAGTCATGATTCCTTCTTGTTGCATCATCGTCACAAGGCTCTTTTTAAAAGGTCATATCACATCCTAGGGCTAACTCACAACTTACATTTGAAAAGTAGTACGACTCTTCACGTGACTGAGCTTTGAGAGAGACAAAAAGAGCGAACGTCGCTGATCAAACTACCAAGGATATAAAGAAACCCATAAAATGAAGCGAAGGCAAGCGCGTTACTAATATCACTAATTATTGTAAGATGTTTGCACGTTGCTGTGAAGAGCTAGTGCTGTCGCTTATTAGGCTTCCGGGTGAAAACATAGTTTCTTCACAAAAAGCCTATGGCGGATCAGTGAGATTCAAGTAGCACCTTAATGACTCGAAACTAGAAAAATATTTCTCATCTCAAGAAAAAGAATGAGCAATAAGGTTAAACTGTGGCTTGGGTGTAGCGGTACCACATGCCACTCACCATCAAATGTTCAAAAGTAAATTTCTCGCTAGCATCCATGCTTTGGAACAAATTTAGCTACGACGAGAAACGTGAAGAGCTGCATGAGCAGGCCCGCCTGTCATTAGTTAAATACGCACTCGAATGTGACTATGACGACTGTTGGCATATTCAATGCGAATTTCCAAGCAAATTTTCCACTCTATCAAACAAAATGCGATGAACATGTGAAAAGTTCTGACCTCAAATTTCAAGTTCTTTGTTAGACCAAATTTTAAAAGCAGCTGCTCAGCTCACAAAACAGATGACAGATCAAAAGGAGGGCAAAGACCGCGCATGAGTGTGTTCGTAAAACTCCCTGATTCAGAAACATACCCTTGAATTCTTCGGGAGCATCTTCCAGTTCCATTTCTTGAGCTGCTTTGTTGTTATACAACGTTTCAACCTTTTCAGCTAAGGCACGGAATCTAAAATTTAATAAGTCTAGAAAAACCATATATAAAACCATTCTTAAAAATTACATAATTCCAGATAACCAAAGGTCATACAGCAGACTAAAGTGGTAAAAGCTATCAATGCCGTGTTGTTAACTGTTGAAATTTCAGAAATCCTCGCTTCATTCGAAAAAATCACCTTTCGATTTGACTGATAGGAACGATATTATTGCTCTGAAGACGACGAATGACGTCGTTCATCATCTGTGGCGTATAAGATCTCTGGAAGAATATTTGAGCCATAATAAATCGCTTGAAACTGCTATGTGAGTGCTACTCCCTGATTGAACTGCGTTCCATGAAACTTATCCAGGGTGGCCAAAACAATACGGTATAGTGCAATAGGACAGAATCAACAGAAAATGGCAAGAAATGGATAATCTGGACAAAGAATGAGAGGAGTGGGAGAAGCAATCTCCAAGAAGAAATTCGCTATCCGTTTTTTAAGTGTCTGCTTTACAACATATTCGTTGGATTGCAGCGATTCGCAGTAGCAGAAGCAACTGTCCGGAAAATTTGCACTTCCTAATCAACAACTTCCTCCAACCAATCCCCTTCAATCAACTACACACTGACGCCATGTAACGCCGTTTGAATGATAATTTGCAGGGAAAACTCTATTATTCTACTGCTTTACTTTCCTTCAGTCAGCAAAAAAGCACACTTTTCATGACAATAAACACAATCTTGATAGTAAAAAATGTGAGAAATAAAAAAATCATGGAATAAAATGTAATACACCGAATACGGGCGAGGAAATGGTGTTGGTTTCCGTTGGAGGTTTTCCAACATCATTTAGGGATTTGAAATAGCGTGCTAAATATAAAGTTTCACTAGCTCTTCTATGAGCAATAAACTCGAGAATGTGTCGAGAACGCGCAGTTTGGAGGTAAACATCCAGCTGGACGACAGGACTTGGTGGCTCCGACTGGGAATCGCTGTGCGCCATCGCGGACCTCAGGCGATTGAGGTGTTGACTAAAAGTTGGTCAGATGCGGGATAATAGTGTAAAAAAAACAGTAGAACAGTTTCGGGGATGTAAGAGCCTGTTAACTTCAACTCCATGCATTTCCGCCCACAAAGTTGTGCGATATTGTGGTTGAGCATTGACGCTAATCTGTCACCAAGCACATCTTGGGCAAATGGCTGTGGGGCATCTCTCGTCAGATATCCCAGCAGTTCTAATGTATCCTTCGCATATATCTAGCCAATGAGCGTACCCTTAACATAATAATCATGGTTTAGAGAAAGCGCCAGAAGACACCAATGGAGAGGCGTTTTACTGCTCTTCGCATCTTCTAATATGCCCTCCCTTTGTTGTTGTTCCTCCCTTCCAAGCGCTGCCCATTCTTCTTTGTTGGACATTACTAGTTCCACATCATGGATCTTTTTCAGCGCTGCCAAACTCTCATCCAGCAAGAATGTAGCATCGTTGATGACCATATTTATGAATCGAATAAACTCGGGACCGCAAGCTCTGAAACCGAATGTACCTCTGATAGGCTCCGGAGGAGCAAACATCAATCTAAGTAGGAATGAATTTACGGACCTAGCAGCTGAATATAATAGACGATAATAAGTCTCCCCCGCTCACAAACACTGGAACTCACGCTTGAGATAGTTGCGTCGCATACTGAAACTTTTCTCATAGAGTCTGTACAGCTCAGCTCGGAGTAACTGAAAATTCAAAACAGGAAATATAGTACCAATCACTCTTTCTGGTAGATACGGTTTAGAAGCCCTAAAGATTGAAAATTTATTCTATTTAAAAGCGGATAATGGGACTGGAAAATGTTATGGTATCGAATGAACAGACGGCAGTGGTTCTTAGGACAACACGTGTCTGTGCATCACGATGATTAGAAGTTTCAGCTTAACACTAAACTGACACATGTGACTGTGTAATTTGATGTAACTATTAACTCTAGCCATGCTGTTAGGTGTGATTGCCGATAAGATCTAAGATATTCTGCGGAAACAAAGAACATGGATGGGTTACGGCAGGTGTTAAGTACATTTCTCAAATTTACACTAAGATGTAAGCATGAGCAATATCAATTTCAACAAACTTTACCACAAATGGAAGGCTGATTTCCATTGCCATTGGGCTGTTTATCACCTGGTACCACAGATTTTGTGCAGCCGGCATAACAGCAGGAGTGAGCATCATGACCACCTCAAACCACCTGTAAAATATTTGTGGATCAAAATTCGTGAAGAGGTTGGAGAATTCCATTATGGAAACATATACACTGGAAATTGTGAGACAGAACGAATGAAAACTTTACTTTGGCAGCCAAAAATGGATTATTGAAGTAGTGGATGTACCAGCAAATGAAGACAAAAGTGAGGGGTTGGACCAAGATTGTATTTCGACCAAAAGGAGTGGAGTTCAGTGTGGCCTGGAAAGCGCTTTTTTCAACAGTGTGATGGTATTGAGCGCCACAGAACAAAGAAGGACGATTTTCCGTGCAGAAGATTATATTACAAATCGTTATTATGTTTACGTCCCGATGCAAAAACCAGACCTGCGATTGCGTATCATACAAAGAGCGACCTTCAAAATAAGCAGTAGAATCATAGAATCAAAATTCTTTCATTAAGCAAATGGTCACCAATCAGCCACATCATCCAATGAACTCTGGGATAGGCGGCGAACAGTGGCGGAGCAACTGTTGGTAGTTCGCTCTCATAACGGCTGGAATATTTTATAATCAAAGATCACAAGCTAGGCACGAGACGAAAAAGAATAAATAACTTGGAATAGTAGACCTTACAAGTTAGGCACAACAGCGTTGAGAAGTAGCTGTAGCTGTTTTGGCTAGTAGAAATCTAGCGCAGGCTGATAATTGAGGATCTGTACAGATGGCTGGGAATAGCACATTGCCGTATGACGTTTGAAGGACTGAAATATGCAAATCAGAGTTGTTACAGGCTTAGTAAAAACGTGTGGTCAAAACTTTTTTCAGATTAGAAGTTAACGAGGGATAAGATTTGAAGCTTAATAAAAAGATTACATAAAGCACTCGTTGTAGAAAATTGAACTAAAGACCACGCAATATTCTCTTAATTGAAGGGAATGTTTGGTCATTCTTAGCGAAGTGGGCAGAGCCGCAACGCGGGAAGCTGTACTAAACAATGGCTTCAAGTACAAAGCTCAGTACGAATCCTTAGAATAGTCGCGCTCCAATCAGAGGGTGATCCGATCGCGGGGACTCCGTTGAGGACAAGAAATGCAGGATCATTAGCTTGCACATCGGGTGGAGGCCAAAGTGTGCGTTTCACTCAAGAGACCTCAGATGTATTGCTTACCAATCATATCAGAAACAGCGAAAAAATTGATAAATGGTGCTTGGCATATCGGCGCTATAGCTCCACTTTAGTTGTAAACTCGCAAACTACCGGAAATCGGAACACTTGACACTAAATATCCAGGACTCTGAAAAGAGTCCCTTTTGTTTGCTCCATTCGCAAATGTTATGCAAAATACAAGCAGGAATCGCCAAGTGATGGCATTTCAGTCATCAACAAATGCTTATTCAGAAATGAATAAAAAACAATGAAATGGCGGAAATTTAACTCACCAGTTTCTGTTCGGTGCGAGCTTTTATTTTGTGATTAATTCTATTCTTTTCATGTTCAGCGAACAATCCACTTCGACGTGAGCTGTTCTTGGAGTTCCTGAAGAAGAGATAAGTCGTAGTACTGAGCCCTACTATTGATCACCCTTACTGCTCTACAGCTTGGTTGACATTACACGCACTATTCATGAATGCTAAGCTTGCCGGGTGCCCGTCACCACGCGGCAAGGGGGCGGACAACGTGCAAGCATTGGGGCAGTTTTCGCGTCTACTCAAGCGTCGACTCAAATGGCAGTAGTGGAAGCAGGATGGACAGTAGAGGGTAGTGAAGGCAATTAATGTGAAGCTGATCACGCTATTGCGAGCCCGGCTGAGCTTAGGAGAACTGCATCACAGTCGCGACCTATATGAGGTTCGGTTGGGTACTGAGGTGTGGGGTGCGTTACGCTATTCTTCGAACTATACTGAATTTCATGCTGCCAAACTGACTCAATCCCGATTCTGGAGGCTGCTGAAAAGTGGCAATCGATAGGAGAGGTTTTTGCATGGGTTTTATCATCTACTACTTACCACCATATCCCCTCACCTCCATGTGCATGTTTCCACCAGGTTACAGAATTACAAGACTCACGCGACATAACGGAAATAGCCGTTTTGCAACCATGTATCAACTTGATCCATGAGGCGGCTGATAAAGTTTTCTTTACTCTTACCCGAATTTACCTCAGAAGGAAAGCCTATTAGGAGAACTCGAGATCTGAGTGTATGAAAACAAACCCGGATCTGTTCGCGGACTTCAGCAATGTGTCTCCGAAGACTGCGTAGACGATTTACTGCAGGTTGAAGGCAGATATTCTCGAACTGCATTGTTAAGAAAAAGCATTCTGTTGTGAACTTGTCCTCGCCAGCAGCAGCTGAAAACAGAGGTGTCGAATAGTGTAGCATTCAAAAAGCTTCGGCCCTTCCATAGAAAGAGCCTCCTGAATCAATAAAAACGGAATGATGAAAAAGTTCCACGTACGAATCTTTTCTGCAAACTCTTTGGCACCCTGAAGGTCTACCTTGAGGCGAGTCTTTTCCACAATATCCACTCGACTATTCTTTTGGAAAGGATACATTTGGTTCACCTAGAATAAATCAGTGATTTTTGATGATGGAGAATAGAACTTTTTCGCAGCTGTTTTTTGATTTTCAAAAGGAGCACCTCCTTCCACAACATCACATTCCAACGTAATCACCACTTTCAGGCCGAGATTCCACAGGGAAGCAAAAAATCAATTTTTGCACAGATGTCAATCATTCACTACTGACTGACAGGGAGGTTCGACTTTTTACAGCAAGACGTAATGGACATCTCAAGATAAACGCCAGCCCTGCAGTTTAATGATAGAAAATGCGGTTTAATCGGTAATTTCCAGTGTCCTACAAATCTAGAGTGACTCATGATTTTATCGTGTTCATCTTCACATTCAGCCACTGCAATAGTTCGGTGTTCACTTATCCTACATGCATAGGAAATCCATGGTTTCGGTGAGATTAGTTACAAAGGTAAATGAGAGGGGGTAACCACAAATTCAAAACCAATACCTCAATAGGGCCGGGCTTCATTAATTAGCTCACCGGCCGCGCGGACCCGAGCGGCTGCGAGGATGGTGCCAATACTTTATAACATTGAAGTAATTGCACACTAGTTAAGGTTTACACACGAAACCATTGATTTCCTCCTTATTCGCAAACAAATTCCTAATTTTCGAAGGCGAAAATTGTACCTATACACAATACAATCACTTCGCTCACGGTACTACTGATTGCACTAGTTGGTGAGGCGCCTGCTACCCTTCTACTATTCAAGCGAGGTGGCAGCGCTCGGCTTTGGCCCCGTTCTCTCGTCATTGTTGCCGTAGCTGTGAGTCAAAATTGGAGGAAGAGAAATTGGAGGCGGAGAAAAGTTCATCCGGATGCAGGCCTATTGGAGGGTTTTCTCTCCCTCCAATAGGCTGCTGTACTCGTTCTAGATGCGTGGTATATGATAATGCGAGGAAACACAAAATTAAATAACGTCATGCTTAAGTGTGATATTGTGATTTTCGCAAGAACCGCAACTTTATTTACAACAAATCTTAAGGAATACAAACTAGCCTTTGATAAATCTATCTTGGATGATAGCTCAAAAAGTACGCACATCAGATTTACGACGTATGTGTGTGAAGCAAGCGTGGCGAAATCCGCCTACAATAAAACTGAATGAAAATGTGAAAGAACATTAATGAACGAAAACATTCTCACTCTTATTTGCGCTCGCTTTTCATTGTGTTTGACAACTGCTGCAAAATAGTCAAGGCAACGCCCACGAGATGACGGATTTGCCACCAACTGATGAACAATTTGGTGCATTAAGGACTGGAATGACACCAATTCAAAAAGTTTTCAAACAATAAAAATACTCTAGGAGAACATGAAACTAACTCTGGTAGTCTCAAACCTTCGCCGATAGCTTTCATACATCATATTAACTCCATCTTTCGGAGCTTCCGTCACACCAAAAAATCTGCTTGCGATAGGACTCTGAACAACACAATTTTACCTTATTTCTCTTGAAATAACCTACATTGAACTTACAACAAATTCATCACATGGAATCCCGTAACCAAGAAATGGGCCGAGGTAGGAAAGATGAGCGATTTCGCGACCCGTGATGTTGGTAACGAGCTCTGGTAAAAAGTCGGGGCGATTGACCATCTGCAAATAATTTCTGCGTCAATCTAAAAAGCACTTCAGGAACTTACTAAAACCTGAAGAAAAAATTCTTACCAAATCAGCTATGGGCCGTTTATTGCCATCAACTCGAACAGATATCAATTGAATTACAGCACGAAACAACAAATGCACGCAATCGTCACGATTCGTCATCATGTGCTGATAAATCATAGAATCCCTCTGCTGTGTAAGAATCGGATTGAACACCTAAAAAAAGAGATTACTGTACTTAACAAAACAGCCCTGAGTAAGTGAATTCCATAAACATCACCCCTTGAGTAAACCAGAAATACGATCCTTACTTACCAGCAGGAATCAGACCACATGATGGAAAAACTACGTAATTTCTCACCTTATCCACACATAAAAAACGAGTAAATCGGAAATGAAGCGGCCCGATCAACTACGCATCGACAACAGGCAGACATTATCAAAACGCTATTTACCTCGGAAAGAGCATTCTCATCGCACAGCGTCTTATTGATGCAATGAGAAGATGATGTCGCTCAAAAGCGTGTTTGATACCAGATTTGAGTATAGTAGGCGAACTAGGGATGAACGCGCCAATTTGCCCGACATGCTGGAACAAAATTTCACTTTCTGAGATTGATAAAGATCGATAGGGAGGAATTAGTTATAAACTTACAAAGGCTCGTAGTACCCGCGAAGAAGGATAACGATATTCGACAACACTAACTCACGAAGATCTAGACACATTTGCTTCTCAAAATCTTGGAAAAACTGAAAGATAAGAAAATATTGTTATTGAGCACAAACGATATAATTAGAGGCATCATTCGAATCCAAGAAAATCTTCCTACGCTCACCTCATTACGACTCTCTGTATTCAAACGACTATATGTAGACATCAAGTAATTCAGAGCCATTGCTTCCTTTGTACTTCCAATTTTGTCCAACTCGGGAATAAAGAGGATAGATCCGAGAGAATCTTCTGCAAATAGACGTTATCGTTAACACCGTGACAAATAGTGATGCTCAAGAAACACTACCACAGCAATTATTGCTTGCGTTACAAATAGTAGCAATAATACTAACTAATCACATCGACCCAGTAATTTACCTGAGTCCACCTCCATGGCCACTTCAGAGGTGGACGCAATGGACGATACAAGAGTGAATATAAGATCATGGATGCAGCTTCTGTATGCGACTGAAATTAAGGAAATTTCGCCACGAAAAAAGCCTTTAAGACATACTTTAACGGTGACCACAGAATAAGTCAAGAACTTACTCAAATCCAACAAATCCGTTTCAGAGATCCTTACATTACACTCGGCCACTAATGCACTTTGTAAAGCGAACTCTGGAGCCACAGTGTCCCCCACTCCCAGCACCCGCAACACAAGACTTCGAACACGCTCAGACTTGAATTGTGCAGCTTCCTAAATTGAATTTATGTGATGCTTTGGCAAATGCAGGCGACAAACAGCCGATATCGATTACTGATCGATATATTCATTCTTACAGTGCAAATCTGTAATGGCAGCATTAATATGCAGTAATCATTAGCGTAAACTTAAAAGTAAAATGAGCGAACAAAGTAGGAGCCCTAGAGGAAGCCTAAAAGTGGGAAGCCATATTTGACTTGCCTAAACCTTACAAACTCGATACGACCAGCATGACTGCTGCAAATCTTACTTGTTGCGACTATTTATTACTAATATCTACTTCATAAGCGTGTTTATAGGGGCGCACAATCATCCTCGTTTTCCCCATCCGACCCTTCGAAGTCATAACGAGACTCATAAGACGAGTTAGCACAAGTATGGAATGTGGCGAATAGTACATTTGCACTTATCACCCGCCGACACCACCGACATGTGTTCGTTAGGTGGTAGGTAAGGAAAGATCATGAATGGAGCATCTGTGGCCCCGCATTTGAGAGAAAGAGGTCGGGAAATGACCCTTTTCAGCAGTATGGCAAGGAGAAAGCGGAGAGACATAAGATCATGGACCGGGTATTCGCGTTGATGAAGTCGACTGTCTGATTCCACCGAGCCCGACCGTGGTCGAAGTGGAATCGGCTTATGCATATAATCTCAATCAATCGAAAACTATGATTGGAACACTTGAGGAAGGGCACGGAACCGGAGTAATACCAAATTTCCGCAACAATTAGAAAGTGGGATACGTGAGATGCTGCATAGGCGGTGAATTACAGCACTACAAAAAAACTGCTAATAGATCGTCTTTTCGCATTAGCTTTTCGCTCAATAACACAACTTAAAAAACGTTCTATCATCGATCGTTTCTATTAGCACGTCTTCGTACTGACAGACAAAAATAGACGACTTCGTCCAAACTGTGGGCGATAAATTATGATGACAGACTCGCTTCCTTCGGTATCCTACAACAGTTGAATTTGCAACCGGATTTCATCCCCATTAGCATAGTCGACACAATCTTCTTTCCGACAAGACAGGCTGGTGAGGCGCAGTGGTGTAACCGAAACAAAACACTGACATTCTAGGAGATTTTCTGAACGGTATTGATGGAATACTAAGCAATGCTGGCCAAAAATTCCAGCCAGCGCCACGTCATCAACACACGGCAGCATAACCGGCATTTCAAGATGAATGTATGTAGTACGAAGCGTATGCCGTAATTTGTTCTGAGTAAAGCGAAATATGGTAACCATAGAAAAGCGACTAAAAAGCGATGCAAATGGACCATTGATGGCTTCAGCTTCAGCTGCTGGGCCTCACCACTTCGCCGCTACAGTACCCTCAGCGCCGCCTATTTGCCCGAACTATTCCAAGCAGTGACTTTGTCTGTGTGCCGCTCTATAGTCTTCTATTCTTCTGCGCGATGTCTTATTAAAAGGGTGGGGGAAAATCATTCATCATGAACTTTTTCCACGAAACACCGAACTTATCGGGTTTTTTTGAATTCGGTTACTACGGTAGTCTGCAAAATCGCGTACATGTGTTCCACGCAGGGATGACTTTGAAGTGCAGATTCCGTTTTGTTTTTCTTGAAGATATCCCTTCTTTTGTACAATAGCTGATTGTCGCGTATTCCTCAATGTTAGATGTTGATAAATTAAATCATTAGACCATATTGGCTTGCAAAAGCATTGCTTATCCACTTTGCTTCGTTCCATATCTTTCTTGGTGTTTTCCAAACTTCATGTTGGACCTCAGAATGTGAAAAACTCATTCCAGGGAGTACTTTGAAATCTGCATTACGGAGTCCGGAATGACGATGCGGACGCAATGGAGATCAACGAGTTTGGCTTGAAAAATGCCGCCACCATTGGATTGATTGATCCACAAGATGCTGTGAGTGGACGTTTTTATGCTTGAATGAAGTCAGTTGTAGCGGGTTAGTGTATGGTGTCCATATCAGGGTGACTTCCCACAAAGGCAATATCTTTTTCAAGCATAGAGTCAAAGTTCTGCGCCCTTGTGGTGTGGTCATACTTTGCGACTGCCTCGCTCTTCGTTGCAGTTTGAGTGTGAGGTAGATACATATTGATCATGCGACCGCAAGATTACGCAGTCGCGACATTACATGGTCTGTGGGTATATGTAACTCCACATTGGTTTGCAAAACGGTAGCAAAGTATTCATCGCCCCCACACACACGTACTTTGATGGGGTGTGGGTACTTAGGACAGAACGCGACTTTTTCGCTCTTCGCAACGCGACATCGCGCGGCAGGCTGGCGCACCCGCAGCGAAAACAACTACGGTATATAAGAACGCGCGATTGGAGCGCGATATTTGTGTCGGCTTTGATTGCGACAAGGAGTTTGAAGCTTAATAGCCATGGATTTGATAATGAACGAGGAAATGGTAACCAGAAGTGGACCGCTAACTAGCAGTGAAGAGGGAGGTAGGTTATTTTTGCAGAGATGGATGGTAGAGCTTCTGGAGAACCTGGAAGAGGAATGGTTGATGGACGTTTGATGAGACGACTGTAAACTTCTGCATAGGGGTTATTTGGGGCCCTGATCATGAATATGACACTCATTTTTCACATTCGTGCTGTTTAACGCATACTTTCTGCTTTTCTAAGCTTTCTCACCTACAGCGCCTACGACTAAGCTTAGGGGAGGGGAGTGAAACTCCGGAGTGGGTAAACCACGCACCGTGTGGCAAAAGTTGGAGTGTGTCAGACCACAGGGGAATGGCCTACCCACTTTGGAGCCCTACACTACTCAAAGGCTTAGTCCTATTGCGATCTAATTAGTGCGAGGGCGCAGACGAGCAGGAAGCAGGCGCCGAATAGCGCTAAAATCAGGACCCCGAATAACCCCTATACAGAAGTTTACAGCGAATTTAGTGGGAATCAGTTGTGGCGCCACCCGGCCCCAAATGGCGCCAGCGTCAAAATGAGTATCATATCCGTAATGAGGACAGAAGCGTTCCGTAAAAGATGTTATACCCTTATGCAGATGTCTATACAACAATATGAACCCACAAAATGCAAGCACAAGCGACACTATTAAACCCTCGTTCACCGATAATTCGTAAAACACCATTTGTGTGGCATCGCCCGGAATCGTGTAAGTCACAAAACGTTTTCAATAATGAGACAGAATTAGTGATTCACCGCATTTATCAATACAATGGGTGTGAGCGCGGGCAAGTAAGGAATCAGAAACTTACAAATTCACGCATGCAAAAAAAGCTGCTCCAATCGCGCGTTCTTCCATACCGTAGTTGTTTTCGCTGCGGGTGCGCCAGCCTGCCGCGCGATGTCGCGTTGCGATGAGCGAAAAAGTCGCGTTCTGTCCTAAGTACCCACACCGCAGATGATTCTGAGCTAGTATATTGATATGTTGGCTCAGAAATCTAACACGGTCGTGAGACAGTGGTACATTACTTTGAGTTTGGAAAATCTACTTTCAACTACATGAATGCACATTCCCTATTAGCATGGTATGCCTACTGGGTTCAGTCATAGAATATGGATGCATGTGATTCGTTAGTTGAAGAAAAAGTAAACGGCATCGTTGAAATTAAACGAGTAAGGTTTGAAACATTGTGTGAGTTCACGCCGAAGTGCACGCCTTTAGTAAAGATTTCGACGACGATGGGATGAGATAGTGTTGAAGCAGAGAGAAGCAGACACGTTTGCGGCTATCAAGTCTTAATTACGACACAGCGATTGGGAGTGGGGGAGATTAAGTTGGTATTGAGTTTTGGGGTAGTCATTGCGTGAAAGATTAGGGAATGTATAATGCATTTAGGTCACCTCCGTGAAGGACATGACCCGCTCAGTAATCGTGGACCTGAAGGAGGTGCGACTACTTAACTCGGATATTGGGAAGAAATTTGTCTATTGCAAGTAAGGGGAGGTTTTATATTGAAGGGATCAACACTTGGTACTTCCGCGTCCAATTTCTGTGTGAGTTTACGCGGGAAAAAGTGTGCATATAGACGAAAGCCTCTGATGACGAAAGATGGGAGAGGAATGAGGCCAGAGCGAACAGTCCCCTGTGGTGCTGTATTTTTTCAAGGCCTACATTGCGGACGGTGTAGGGTCCCTGTTTTCGGGTTTAGGGTTGATTTTTACTTGATCACTGTACCACTTCCTCCTTTTCCCTCATTCCCAAGGGCGGTAGTATCATCTGCTTTCAAGGTATGCAACTTCGTCGGCTATAGTAACGGCGTATATTTTTTTCGAGTTTGTGAGTTGCAGCTTGGTGCATGAACCTATCCTAGAACAGTGGATTTCTCTCAGGGGACGAGGATGCATGACCTTATGTTTCCTCTTCCATCGACTACTGAGTGCTGAAACATTACGATGAACCATCCTATACGAGCAACGTGTATATGGCGTGCAACGATGTGTGCACTTATAGTAATAAATGTATGAGATGGATAGTAGACAGGGATCAGACTCAGACCGGCAAGCGTTTGATCTCTAGCAATAATATCGCCTAAGATGTCTCAAAATGGTATCCCAACTCACCGGTGGTAGTATGCCTGGGTGGTATGTTTTCCTTCCACGTCTTGCTAGCACATTGCGGGAGGAGGGAGGGGTAGAGAAAAGGTGCTAGATTTTCAGAAGAGGGGCCTCGCTTTCCTCAGTTCACAATTTTACTCCACGCATAGGTTATTTAGCGTCTCTCCATCATTTTTGAGTGTCTTTCTATCCGTTTCGCCTTCTTGGGAAGGCAGATCTCTAACAAGGCGGCATTCCATTCACGGCTCCCTCAATGTTTCATAATTTCGGTCAATCATTCGCTTTACTAGAACGATTACGATACGTCATACATTAGCTTGAAATGCCGGTTAATGCTGCGTGTTTTGATGGACGCTGGCGACTTAAATGAACTTTGGCAGGCATTGCTAACCAGGGAAGGATGGTGAATCGAAGTGGCCATTTGAAATAAGGTGTACAAACCCTGGTGTAGTCTGAGACGCTGATTTCAAATCTGTCTTCCAAATCTGCTGAACGACTCTCTGAAAGAAATTACGAGGGGTGTTTAGAGGGACCGTGGCTGAGCTACTCGGATAATAGCTGCGATCGGCTAAGTGTGGTGTGCGTCGATGGCTCAACAGGTATGTGGTCTGCTTCATGTTATCACGGTGGAGGGTTCGGATCCTTGCACTGACGAAACTTTGCATTTCACGGGAAATATCCTTTGCACATCTACAACCAGTTTTGCACAAGTATCCTGCTCTATATACCTGGAAGTTTGTGTTTGCGAATGCGTGTCGCCTTTTCGAAGGATTCAGCCACGAATTTTTCTCGACTCCTATTTTATTTTTTATAGACTTTATTAAAGTCAACGCTCAATACAAATGTGATAGTCTATTACAAAATGGTTAAAGCACAAGAGTTTCTCGCAATGCGAACAGCGAATGAAATGAAGATCATCACAACCTATGAAGTCACATTTGCCTATCGAATCGGATGGAAAAGCAAACTGGAGGGGAGTTTCAAATTCACCGGGGTGTTCATCTACCACCTTTGGGCAGAACATCATTCAACAGTTCCGAAGTGATAAATGATTGTCTGCCCTCTGGGTTCTGCCAGGACTGCCACGTCAAAGGCAGAGCCTTCCCAGTAAAACTCCA